GGCCTCTCTCATCTTTTTAAGTGGGAGAACTTGCACAATTGGTGGCTGACTAAATACTTTTTTGCCCCACTGTATGTATATAGCTCAAGAAATAAGAACAACCTTTGCTGGGACAATGGGAATCTAGCCATGATTGAACTAAAGGACTTAGAGTTGAAGTCTTCTATAACGACATAAACACTTACTCTTACAGACACAGATGTTTATTGTCTGTGGGGAAAACCATCTGTTTTGGCAGATGAAAGCCATATGCCTGAATTTTATCAACATTTTGATCACACACATGTAAACCTTATACAGCTGGTCCTCAGCTTATGATGGCAATTGGGACTGGAATTGCCACTGCTATGCAACGTGGCAGTAAAGTGCAACATCACAGGAGCATGTTGCTTAGCAACAGCAGTTCCAGCAGTCCCCATTGCTGTTGTTAAGGAAGGACTCCACAGCCATTAAGCAAGGACCTCATATGACCTCAATTTCTGACTTCCTGCCGGCTTCCCCATTGACTTTGCTCATGGGAAGCTGGCAGGAAATGTTGGAAATTGCAATCATGTGACTGCAGGGATGCTACAAGGGCTGGGACTCCGAGAACAGGTTGTAAGTCCCCATCATTCAGTGCCATCATAACTTTGAATGGTTGCTGAACGAATGGAAGTAACCCAAGGACTACCTGTACTGAACTCTAAAATGGAGGAACAGAATGATAGTCAAAACATTCACTATTCAGTAGGAAAGAAATAAGAACTGGGAGGAAGAAGTAGGAAGCTTTTCAGTATATGAGTTTCATACAAGGAACAAGGGATATAACAGTAGTGGATACCATATCTTTTGTATGCAAAATGGATTTAACTGCCCATGTGCTCAATGTTCTAAAACAGTGTTTTGATGCTAACAAAAGCAAAAATCAAGCTGCATGCTTTGTTTTGGATTCTGCATCAGACACAGAGGGGGAAAGATAATTTTCAGCTGGCAAAGCCAGTCTGTTTTTGCTTTAGTAACTAAGAACTAATTTGAAGAATCAATTTATTTTGTTGCATCAATTCAGAGAAGATCCAGTTTCATTTGATGGTGGTGTAGTCAAGTGGGAAAGCTTTATTTCTGTAATGGTATGTGGGGAAGAACTTGGGAGTCTGGGCCAAGAGGCACTGCCTAGCAAATGGTAAGATAAGAGACAACATAGCCCGCAGCTGGACAGTGGGCGAGGCAAGAGGCTCAGAAGAGACCCTTTCCAGTTTGTTGGGCTGTAAGGGAGACAGAGGAAGAACGGTACTTTCAGACTTGCAAGATTCTGTTAATGTAGCCTTACAATAAATTACAGTTAGCTCATCTGGTCATGTTTCCTGTCTGGTCTACCTAGGACAGCTGACAATTTCTGAATGTTGCAAATATATGCCAACCCAAAGCAGCTTCTGCAAAGCTTGGTATGTTAGCCGTAACAATAAAGAACTAAATTGCAGTGCTGATGCCTTTAAAACATGAAAAAATGACCACAGAATATACTGGTAGAAATGCATAATATTGGTATGTCAGATAAAGTTTCCTCTCTCCCAAAAATCTCTTATTATGCTGCTCTCATCTGTGCTTTATTACTATGCACCAAGGACAATTTTGGAGATGTAAAATTAATTTAAATAAGATAGGCTCATTTACAGAGACAGGGAATAATCACTGAAATATTTTTTATTAATTTAAAACGATGTTCAACAAAGCTAGGGAAGGGAAGCCACTCTGCGGCTATAGAGTAATATGTACACAAATGTCAGAGTCTTATAATTACACAAGAATCTCTAGGAGTGTTATATGTAATAAGGGGGGTTAGTTTTGAAAGCAGGACATTGCATAAATACTATTCCCCTTCTGGCCAGAGCACAGAACTCTGGTACAGAGAAAATGATGATTTTTGGTGGAAAAGAGCAACAGGTAAGCCAAAACAACAGACAAGTTAAAAAAGCACTGATATAACATAGCACCAATTTTCTTACTAACATATAAAAAGTGTAATTACCTTACTGAGTAAATAAATAGTGTAAAATTTACTATCATACACCATTATAAAATTCTTCCCTTTGAAGCAAAGCTTCAGAATTAATCTCCAAAATGCGTTTGGGGCATGTAGAAGCAAAAATGTAGCACCTCTGCAACATCTTAAAGCAACTACCTTTTCTCTTGAGACTGTGTAGTGATCCTCCATAGCTACCACACAGTTTATGGAAAAAACATCAATGCTTTTGGTGTTCTAAAAAGACACTATTCACTCTCTCACAAGCTCCAAAGCATCTTTTGGAAATCAAGTCTGAAGCGCTGCACAATCCTACAGAAGAACAGATACAGGTAGTCCTCGTTTAACAACCATTCATTCAGCGACTGTTTGAAGTTACAACAGCATTTGAACAAGGGGACTTGTGACAGTTCCTTGTAGTTGCAGCTGTTGCAGCATCCCTGCAATCACATGATCGTGATTCAGGCACTTGGCAATTGGCTCACAATTACAACAGTTGCAGCTACCTGCGGTCACATGATCGCCATTTGTGACCTTCACTGCTGGCTTCCAACAAGCAAACCCAATGGGGAAGCTGGCAGGAAGTTGCAAATGGCGATGCATGATGTCACACCTAAGAATCGTATAGGTTTTGCTTAATGATGGCAACCAGAACTGCCGCAAGTGGGCATGGTCACGTGATGTTGCGCTTTATGACCGCGTTGCTTAGCAATGGGATTGCTGGTCCCAATAACTGTCGTTAAGTAAAGACTATCTGTACAAACAGAGATATAGATAAGAGGCCAGTTTAACAAATTCAAGCAAGTTGCACAATCAACAAATCTAACTGGGAGAGAAGCAGGAAAGAAGACTTGGTATTAACGCATAATGCAAAGAAAATTCAGAAATGTTGGTAAATTGAACTCCAAATCAACAAAGCATATACGTTTTATATAAAATTTAGTATTACTATAAACAAACTGTACTCTAGATATAAGGCTTGTGTTAGATATAAAGCTCTTGTAATTGAACAAGCAAAGGAAAATTGCAAGGTTCATTCATTCACCATATTACAAACAGCTCATAACAGCTTGTTATTTCAGCACATGCTTCTGTTTCCGGATTCTACGTAAGCACCATATACTATACCATCACAAAACACAACATAGCACATAATTATCTACCGGAGTTCCAAGCCAGCTGGGTTTAAGGATTATCATTAATCACTTTCTTTAACCAATGTTTGCAATTAACTAACAGCAGTCTTAAAAGCCTTGTCAAAGACACTTCCGTTTAATGAACTTAAAAATTCCCCCTTTCTTGCTTTAAACCACTAAGTAAAATTACAGGCTACAAAGCTCATTTAGTGTAAGAAATTTAAAGGAAAGGCACCACTCAAGGAGTTCCTACAGTTGGATTTCACATGTACAGCTGAATTCTGAAGTTCATTTCTGATAGCAGTCTTCTTCGTTATCCTGCAATCAGCTTTGGAAATGTAAGAGTTTTATAATACATCTTGAAAAGTATGTAGGAAAAAAAAGTAGGAAAAAAGTAATTTCCCAATTTCCTCTTGGGGGCAGAATGATGATTCTGAGTTTAATTTATATTTAGTTTTATAGTGAACTACATTACCACATTTTCCTAGCATTCTGCATACTGGAAAGCCATCACTGAAACAAATATTTGCCTAAGGTGGAAACTGGGATTAACATACCTGTAGTTAAAGGAAGGTGAATGACAGTTTTTAAACATGTCAAAGTATACCAAAAGGATGACAGAGTTGCTCCTGACAGTAAAAGAAGTAGGATAAGTTTCAGCATTCCTCTGATAAAATCAGCAAACCTGAAACATAAATCATAATTCTAAAATCATTCACACAATCTGTAAGGAAAAAAAATTATACATTAGCTAAAGTGCTAGGATACAATTATTAAAATAGTGGTTTCTGATGTGGTATTTTGTTCTAGGAAGGCATCAATAGACACCAAGATGTATTACAACAGAGGTGATAATTTTGAGTTTCTAAGTTGAGACTGTATATAGCTAAATCTATAATTAGATTTTGTTTTATTTTTATTTTATCCTTGCCTTAGAAAAAGTATCTTAGAACTTAAAACATTTTGCTGAATAATGAAAATTAAGGCTCTCTCCCCCAAATACTGAAGCATTATAAATGGCTTAATATTATCTTTCTTAGCTCAACATCACCTTGAGCTGAAACTTCTTTCTCACAGAATTTCTGTTAAATTCAATGGGCTGGATATAAAGTTTGATCTCAAATGAGCTGGCATACCCATTTCCATATTTCATCCACTTTTGTAGAAAGCTGGGTTCTTTCAGCCATTTATACTGAATTGCTCTAATGAGCTGATGAAGAGTGACTTTTAGGATTGCACCAAAAAAGGATAACCAATTTAAAATTTATTGGAATAACATGCAAACTGGTGATACATCAGAGAAAAACAGTGGAAACATAATATAAAATTATCAGAATGAATGAATCACATTATAATGAATTGCTTAATGAATCACAACAGAATAAAATTATTAATCAAACAATTGCAACAAAATTTACTAAACCAGTTAGGTCATAATAAATGGTGAATCAGAAACTACTCAAGGCATAATGAATATTAATGCAAATCAGAAAAAAAGCATGTTAAAATCAAACTTTTGCTAACTCCATTTCTTTTAACCAGAATGACCTTTCCATCTTAAGTGAGAGATTAAAAGCTAGGGTTAAAAAGAATTCAGCATTACATCTGGTAACATCAAGAAGAAACAGCTGCCCCCTGTTTAACGTTAGCATTTTTATAAACAAGTGTATCTTTTAATGAAAGAGGCATGCCATCTCATGATCTAGTTAGCCACTAAGTTTCTGATGTCATCCCTGAATCTCATTTATTACTTATCCTTAGCACTCTTATTGGCTATTGTTTATGTGCTATGGCCTACCTACAAAAACGGATATTATATTCATAAATGGTTAGATGAAAGCATTACTAATTTCTTGAGTCTTACTTCTTTTTTGCCTCTGGACTTTGCAGTCAATAATCATATTGAAACAGTAAACTGAATGGTTTTAATTCCTCTTTTTAATTATGTTTATCTATCTAAAAAATGCAGATACACTGCCTTCTCTAATTATTTCTCCTCAAGTATATCTCTGTGATTTATTGTTCATCAGATTGTTCCATGAACGTAAAGCACATTCCAACTTTATACTGCAGCTGAATAGAGAGAAGCCCAATATGGATTCTTTAAAGCAAGTTCAGGGCACGGGTACTTAAGCAAAGATGGTCAGATCCCTTTAAAGATATACATATTAGTTCAAGCCATGGCGCCAAGTAATCCTCTCTAGCTCAAAGGTAGCCCAAACCGGCCTTCATTTGGCTCAGATTTTGTCTTCCAAAGAGACCTGAACCCTTGTTCACAACACCCTTAAAGCATAAGTGTGGCTCAGGCTTTCTTTGTTCCAAATTTTATTAGGTTCCTTGTTCATACAGTTTCAGAAAGTGGCTAGACTCATAAAACTAACATTTCCTGAGCAGAAAGGGAAAGCCTTCTGACTTTGTGCCCACTTGGAGGGCATAGGATCTTTGAATTTGGGAGCTGAATGACAGAAGAAAATTTATTAGCTTGCATTAATTTACCAGCTTGCATTATAATAAATTGTTTTTATTGATTTTTTAAGGGACATTTTAATTTTACATATTGTAAGTCTCCCAGAGTCATATGACCAAGCAGTATATACTGGGTGACTTCAGCCAGTGAGTTTCTCTCATCCTTATCTGCTGTTGTAGTTTAAGTACACTTTAAGTCCCATGAAAAGTGGGATATAAATTAAATAAACTATCTGGAAACAAATAAAGAATATATTGACATGAGACTCTTTGTATGAAGACTCTTTGTACCTCTCAGTTGGAATATTCTGGAAAGAAACTGAAGCTCATGATGGAGATATGGAGACCCTCATTTAGCTTAAACATCAGGAACATGTTTTAGCCTCCATACCCCGAACCTCATTAGATCTTACATTTTAGCTTGTACAAGAAAAAATAATATTTCAACTTATTGGACCTTGTTGTATTTGAAAACACAACAGAAAACAGAATGAGTAAATCATCATTGTTGGAGATGCAACTAAAATAAAACATGTTTTGCAATGTCCTAAAGCTACTATGTTCTAGGAAGAAGTAATTAGATAAAGTTTAATATTTTTGGATGCATACATTCTTTTGAACGATATACCTATTTCATGGAAACTGACAACTGGACAATGGAAATGGATTCTCCATGCCCTTAATATTGTCAAGAGATTAGTTCTTCAATAATGGAAAGACAAATTTATGGCCCTAATTACCCAGTGGGTTGAAGACCTTATGTTCCTTATAGAAATAAAGTATGGATGAACAATTACAGTGAAACAGTTATCTTTTATTGAAACAGTTATGTAAAAATATCACACACACACACACATATAACTATATATGTATGAGAAGCCCTTATATATATAATGTATCTTGTAACTGCATTTTTTTCCTATCTGTTCCATTCCCTTAAATAAAGGGGGAAAAGATAAGAGCTATATGTAAACTATTTACATTAGCACCAACAACTGTAGCACATGCAGGGGCCAGGTGGCTATAAATCCACATCCCTAACTTGGTGTTTTTCAGCTGTGCTGAAATTATACAACTTCCAGAATTTGCTGGTGGCCTGGCTATAGGCCATTCTGGTTGAGAATTCTGGAAATTATAGTCTCAGCTTCTTAAGCACACAAAGTTGAAGAAAGCCCATTTAAATTATCACAATCTGTTCAAGACTGTACATTCATTTGTCCTCAATTGTTCCATCCCTGCCCATCTGTCTTTCACATTATTTTTGATATGATCCTTCATTTTTTATTCTGTGGCTTCTTCTATTATTGTACACATCATAAGAATTCCTATTTGTATGTGTGAAATCGATGTCTTCTCTTCTTGTTAACATTACACACATAGAAATACTTCCTTAATATTTTTAGGCCACATTGACCCTAATAATTGCCATTTCAAACCAAGCCCTGCATTCCAACTGAGGCCAATAATATGCCTCAAGAAATAGCATTCTACTATTTTTTCTGTCTAGCATCTAACATTCAGAAGAATTGGTCTAGTTCTAATTTATTCTCCACTCACACACTTTATCACTTTTGCTGTTCTTTTTTCCCCTCCCTTTTTCTCTCCAACAAATTGCAATATAGCCTTTGACCTTGAGTTTCCACTGAGAATGCAGTTGAATTCCTACCACAGGACACCAAGGAACATAATGCTGTCACTCCTTAAATTTGGATCAGTATTTCATGATCTAAAAATATCACTTTATATGCATCCTTTAGTTCATAATTTAATGAAATCTGTAAACCTCTTTCCTTATTGCTATAGAAATTACCCCATGTGACAAAGTTGCTGCATTTTGACTTTGCTGTAGTTTAATGCTGAAGGAAATGTTGAGCTGTGAAGGACAAAACTTGAAAAATAACTCTGACCATTATGAAATATGACAAGAAAAATGCCATGGAGGGGGAAAAAAAAGAGATTCAGGTTGATTTGCAATGCTGTGCAATTTACGTTAAAAAAATGAGTGTCACTGTCCAAAGTTTCTTTTTTCTCTCCCCAACCCAAATTAGCTTCATTCTATAGAGGTTAACAAAAGGATACAGTGCCCACCAGTCACCTAAAATATCTAAGACTCTTCAGTCATAAACATGCCATATAAATTGTCTCAAATTCCTGGTCTGGAGTTAGGAGAGTGGCATAAATCTCATGTGAAAGAAGGCACCATATACCACTGGTAACAAAATAATGAAATTTGAGAGCTTATTTTCCAACTGTGCCTTCCTTTGACAGGCATAATTTTGTACCACAGCCACAAACATTTCTATTAGGTGCAACGATTGCTTGACATCCAAATGATAGCTTCAGCACCATCCAACTGGAAAGTGGTTTAAATGTAGTGTCCTTTATAGATTGCATTTAGCCAGTAAATAATGCTCACAAGTTGAGTGAAATTATATTGCAATTTTATGGCGGTGGGTGGTGGAAGGACTGGGACTGGAGTCAGAGAGGAGGAAGGAGTAAATCCCCACTAGATTCGTAAGTAGAAACCCTTGAACTACTAACTAAATTAGCAGCTGGTACAATCAAAAAGTAGCTTCCACACTTGCGTTATTAAAATATATACTAAGCTGCCTGCAAGTCACAGGACCAACCCTGAAATCCATGAGCCTGTCAGACTTGACAAGAATCATTACCTAATTTTCCTAATTACAACTTTCAGCAGATTATAGTCAGCAAAGACAGTGATTTAATTTTATATAGATAAACTGCTGAATAGGCCTAAGGAAGGGGAGTCATCCATCAAAAGAGATAAATCGCCACTCTTTTTGCACTCAAAATTCTATGCTTGAAGTTTTGTAATTTTTCAGTCAGAAAGAGGGATTTGGCAAGAGGCTATTAGCTTTTTATTAAAACCACAAAGAGTTTGAAGTGCTGGAGTCAACAAAAATGTATGCATTGCTATGGAACTGGAAACCATTTTTAGCAGATACAAAAGACATTAAAAGGATGCTCTGAGACTAAAATTGAGCTACATATTTAAGTAATTATTTTCCCTCAGAAGGTCAAGATTTACATAAAACTCCATTCACAAACCTGTAGTAGAGTCATCATAAAGCAAAAAAAGAATGGCCACCCTTTACAAGATTCTTCAGTTGAAAAGCACAATATAATATACAAGCAAGAGAAAGCACTATCTTATGTATAAAAGATCCCATAACCGAGTAGAAGAAAAATCAATGTGATACAAGACATTGCTGACTTAAAGCAATAAGGGGGCTCCACATATTTATAGCTGTAATTCTGTGCCCTTACTTCCATTTCCTTGAGAGTGTTTTATCAAAGAGCTCTGCTCTCTAACCACCAGACAACTCATTTAACAACTCTAAATAAGCAACTCTAATGTTTTAGACGTTTATACTTTCAAGTATGGCACTGCAACATTAACAATGAAAGATGTAATTTTCTAAAACAAGAAAATTGATCTTTAAAAAAAAAGTATATGAAATCTGCAGCCAACTATATTTGCCACATTTTGATATAAGAACAACCCAACACTTTCTGTAGTTAAGAATTTAAGTATAGCATTATCTTGAGCCTGCAGTTAAAGATATCTGCAGGTTGTTAAAACCATGACCAGAAGCTTTAAAATTCCAATAGTCATTGGGTGTGAAGGAGGAAAAGTACGAGGGGCTGAGACTCAGTACACTCTCAATCTTCGTTATCCGCAAGGGTTACGTTCTTGAAAAACTCCACAAAAATGGAAACTGTTGTTATGGAAGCATTGTTCCTAGTGAGATCACGTGATTTATCATCGGAATGACTTTGAAACTTGTTAATACAACAAATACCACAACAAGAAGAACCTGGTTTCCCTTAGTGTAGCTTGTGTCAGCACTGTACCATAAGGCTCTCAGACTTCTCCCTACTGTACATGGCCGGGTATAGCCATGTTGAGATGGCGTTTGAAGAAAAATGGGTTACACTTTTATACAAGCATATAAACAAATCTGCGGAAACAGAATGTGTGGATAACGAGGATTGAGTGTATATATTTTGGTTACCAAACTCATTGACTGTTCATGTAAACTGATTACAATCTGTTCAGACCAATGAGTGAGACAGCCTCTAAAATGGAAATCTTCAACTAGTTAGCTATCATTTTGTCAGAACCACCTTATTTCAACAAAGAAAGAAACTGGGTGGTTACAACTATTCCTAGCAATCTTACATCTCCTTCCCTACTTAATTTTTATATTAAATGCACACATATGTACATACAACAGAGGGCTGCTGTACTAAGGCCCTCCTAAAGAAAAAAACAGAATTTGTCTTGTGATATCTGAAATTAGGCAACAGTGTAGCTTTTCTGCACATCTGTGGGGCTATGGTAAACCCTTATACTTCACCACCAAATCTGATATGGTGTTTATGTTTTTCTACTTAAGTGTACTGTATTTACATTATTTCAGTAAACTACTAAATTACTAATTACTAATCTGTAAACTAAGTCTAGCTACTCCCAATCAACATAAAACATATCAGGCCTTAATAATTTTAAAAAATCCTTTACCAGAATTATTGCTGTATAGCATCAGGAATTAACAAGTTAATATTTTAAATTTTAATATAGGCAAAAGCATTTAAACAGATCTTAAAAACATGCTGAAAGCAACTGTTTTTCAGGTGAAGTGTGCATTTCCTCATGGCTAATTTATTCAAGGCTTCAGGCCAACAGAGGCTGCAACTGAAGCAAGCAGTGCCCCTTTTTCTAAAATGCCATTATTATTCATTCAAGCCCAAAGGAATCCTGAAAGGAATTATATAAAGGAGTTCAGAACTCCGTCTGTCCATCCATCAGCAAGATAACTCTCAGAACACAACACAACAGGATCCAACATGGTGTGGCTGGGAAAAGCTAGCAAAAGAAAGACTGAGTTTGAAAAGCACCCATATTCAGCTTGGGGCTGTGGAGAAAAAAGACCCAGAATAAAGTTGCTCCCAGGCGTCTCTATGGGACAGCTGTTTGGGAGTATCCTAGAATACTGCTGACTGCTCCAAGCGATGTTCCCCTCCCTTCCTCTTCCTCGTCATCTGACCCAAAGCGGAGCATAAGGACTCACCCTGTGCGTCTCAAGGCACAGATATACAGAAGCACACAGAAGTGCTCCACAAGGGAAAGCAGAATCTCTCTCTCATACACATACACACAAAAAACCCTTTTCACTCTGTTACACAGCAGAAAATACAGAGGCTTCCTATGGCCAGTGCTGATAACAGGGCTGGAAAGGATTCTAGAAATCATGATCTGCATGATTTCCCTAACTGGTTTTCTTTAACTTCTCATTTTCACTCTTAAAGTTCTTTCTCTTCCATCAAGCTCTTCACTTTCTATCAAACAGCAAGAGACCAGGGAATGGACAAATAGCTCTTGAAACAGGTGTGAACTTTCAGAAGACTTTTAAAATTACGTAGGTTGAGAGTCACATGAAATTAAACTGAGGGCTGCACAAGTTTCTCAGATTGTCGTTCTTAAAGGAATTCTGTTGACACAGAGATAGAAAAAAACCTTGACAACTACAGAACTAGTAATTATGCAGTATAACAAGAATCATAGCCTAAGAAATGTTATGTTATCCATGAGATATAATGAGGCACTTTAAAATTATCTCAGTGTAAACATTATCATAGCCATCAAGTCCAATAAATCAAGTCAAATCAATTAATTTGAATCAATTCTTTTGAACCACATGTTTACACTTAATTTATTTACAGCATTCCTATTTCATGTTCCAATACAAAAGAATGTATAAGGGGCTTAAAACCATAAACTAAAACAAGCAAAAACAAAATACATAATGAATCATTGTTTTGAAAGTTTAACAATCTGGAAAAAAAAATCTGACCAAAGTTTGATGAAAAAGGATAAAGAAGCAACAATCAGAAAGAAAGAAAGAAAAATGTAAAGCAGCAGCTAGTCATTAAAAGCACAGGAAAATGAAATGCTTAATTAATTAATTTGATTTATCCTGCCTTTATTTTTTTGTCAACTCAAGGCAGCGTATATACCTAATGCTCCCACCTATTTTTATTTTATTTTTTAATTTTATTTTTGATGCTTAAACAGTAGGCCTTTTGGGGCACACAGTGGATTTCTAAGGATAGCTCCTGGGTAGACATCTGAAAATAATCTCAAAAGACAGACACATTCAGAAAAGGAGACAGACACATACAAAAAACCCACAAAGAGATTTATAGTTTAAAATTTGTTCTTTGTAACATCAAATATACAACAAATACACTACGCTGCAAAATGTTGATGTGGAAAGTTTCACAGCTCTCAGTTATTTGAATGTGGGTTTCATCACATTCAGTTCTAACACAATGAACTGCTAAGCTAGGGATTAACATCCTTTTGTGGCCATGGACTTAAAGTTAGAGGGGAAGCTGAGGGCCATAAAATGGGAAGGGGCACATTGACTAGTAGGCAGGGCTTGTTTTTATCATGTGATTTTGGGGAGGGGTTTTTTTTTTAATTTTTTCATTGCGATATACCTATTTTCAGGCTTACACTAAGTTTTAAAGTGTGATGGGAAACTATGGTGGCAGCTTCCAGCTCTTATGTCCGTAGAGGGCACTAAGTAGCAAAAAGCAGGCTGCAGTTGGCCACTCTTAAGTTAAGCTATACATTTACATGAGTGGTACTGACTCAGATATATAAACTCTTTCCTATCATTTCATTCCTCTCTTTGGGTAAGGAAAAGAGCCAGTAAAACCACATTTAGTCACTACTTCCCATTATATCCACATCAGGAACTACAGTCAGAAGGTTCCAAATAAAATAAGATTCTCAAGCTAAATTTAAATCATAGTTTCAAGCTGGCCTATGATCCTAGTCAGCTTGGAAAAATTAATGATAGTATCTGATTTGGAAGGAAGGAGAAGGTATGGTTAAATGAACATTTCTAGCTGGCTTACTCTTGTGAAATGCAGAAAAAGGTTCCATGTGGGCATAGACATCTTGTGGATATGTGGTTTATTTAGCCATGATTTCACTATTTGATCATAATTGTTACATTATTTAGACTGTTAAGTGTATTAATTCCTTTTTGCATGGGAATTCATTAAGCTTATCAATTTATATGACTAATATAATTTGGGAGCAAAATGATAGCTGTCACAAGTCATTATAACATCCTCTATTTCTAAACATCTTTTGTATTAAGCACTTTGCAGTTTATGTTCAGAAGTTCACAACTCACCCACAGCCAGTTGCTTACATTAATGGAAGTACTAGCAAGACTCTTACAAAATCTTTAAATAATTCACTGTAATATTCAAACCAGCCCCAAAATAGCCAATTCTCCCGAAAAAACAATCACAACTGTAATGGAAGAGATGAAAGCAAACTGGAGTAAAATACCAATGGTTCCTTCATTACTTTATCTAGGTGTTCCTCCACCTCTGGATGGAGTGGACAGAGAGTACTTGTCAAACACAATAATACGCCCTGCTTAGTTTGACAACTGAACAAATGGAATTTTCAGCATTCACGGACTTTAAAAAATGATGAACCACACAAATTACTACTCTAGATAGAAGATGAGCATATTTCTTACCTATAGAAAATGATTTGTTCTTTTTACAATTGTCATGGATGAGAGGAAATGATTTCAAGGGGTATCATTTTAGTATAACTAAAACACAATTTCAGTGAAGAAAAATAAAAGAGAAAAAAGGAACGCCTACCTTGCTAGTGCTATGCCAACAACACAGCCTCCTACAATGGACCAAAATCCAATCCAACCTGCATCCACCTGGAAAAAGCCAAGATAAATACAATGTTGTTTTTAGCAATACAGAAGGTAATTGGTTGATATTTGCTATTTGTATGTAACTATTTTGGAGTACAGCTGTGAAAAAAAAACAGTTTCTATTTAGCTATTGACTGACTTATTATCAATTAATTTGTCTAATCTCTTTTTAAACCATCCAAGGAAGCAGGCATCTTCCCCTCTTCAGAAAGCAAATGCAAGTTAACGCACTTAGTGTATGGAGAAATATTCTCTTTAGTTTGATTTTAGCCTATTCAGAGGCATCCACAGGGTGAAGGAAGAGTCTTTCCCTTTCATATGTGCATTGTGACATTGTGTGCATGTACGAAAGAGACAGAGCTTACATTGCAAGGGTGTGACACTGTTTTCATCAATTTGATGAAAGCATGAGATCCTGCAGTTGCCCCTGAATCTACTGCATCAATTTCATTATTAAATATTAGAAATATGATCTGTAGATAGTTGTTTTAATCTTTCCGCCACTTTTCTCCTTTAACTTTCTAAAAACAACACTCATTTCAATAGATACCAATTTTTTCCCTCTTTTTCTTATCCCATGATATCCATCTACTCATTTTCAATATAGTGAAAATACTACTGGCACCAACTTGAGGCAAAGCACAAACACAGCATGGTTTGGAGCAATTCAGGGTGATTTCTAGATCAGTTCCAGTTAGATGGACACCTCGACCTCACCCTGTTCTTGATTAAAAGTCCTCTACAAAGCTCTACCTCTAATATGTATTTTGGAAGGTTCTTGATTTCAAAAGGTCCAGTGTTGACATGGCAGCCCTCAGAAACTTTCAGTATTTGCTCATGTAAAATACCTTGGTGGGAAGGCATAGTATTGGAATAGACAGGGTTGTCTTTAAATAAAGGTTACCTTACAATTAGAACCTCTTCTGACATCCCAATTACAATTTTATGGATGAGTGAGAGATACATGGGAGAGAAACATGGAGCTGCTTTTGCTTATAAACATATCAGAGAAACTGAGGTTAGGCAGGGCAGGGATGGGTTTTATTAAAACTAAGCTCACTGAAGTTCTCTGGGAGCTTTTAGAACACTGTCACTAGTCTGATCAAGTGATTACTAAGGTCAGAAGCAAATATTCAGGATGAAAAAAAGATGCTCAATCATGACAGAGTTAAACTAGGCCTTAGATAAAGTTTGAAAAATAATGAGGTCCTAGTCATTGAAAGGGGGTGGGAGAGCATCCAGCTGGAACTTTGGAGAAATATATAATCTTTCCCTGTCCGTATCCCTCTAGAAACTTGAAGCAAATAGGCCTGCTCGGTTGTGTATGAGGATAGCTTGCAAAAAAGTCTTGGGCTAAACTTTCTTATATGGAATTCCTCTAAGGAAATAAATTATGGCACTCTAATTATTCTTTTTTTCCCCTTCATGCTAATATAAAAGCTTTGGTTTGTGGAGTCCTTGGGGTTCTCTGAGCTTCGTTGTTTTCTTGCAAATGTTTTGTTACCCAGCTAGGTAACATCTTCAGTGCTAGAATAGAGTGGGGTTTGCTCTCTGTTTATATACAATGGCTTGCCCTGCCAGTGTTGGGGGGAGGGTTTTTTTTTTTTTTCTTCTTCTCCTTGTAGTTCCTTGGTTAGGATAATGTTTACTGCTTGATTGTCTGGTGATAATCTTGGTGTTAATCTCTACTTATCTGGTGATGATTGCTGGTGAGGAGGCATTGTGGTCTTTTGTTTCCTTTTTATTGCTTCTTTTGAATAGTATGCAGATGTTGTTTAACTCTATGTGCCTGTTGATGGCTGTCTTGTCTAAATACCAAGCTTCCAGGAATTCCCTCACAGTAGCCCAAGAAGAAAAAACAGGAGTCATCTACAATGTACAATGTAAGGACTGTAATAACTACTATGTAGGGCAGACAGGCAGAAGGCTAGCAGAACACACTCATGAACATCAACTAACAGACAGAAGACACAATGAAAACTCCTTAATCTCACAACACATGGACAGACTTAATCATAATTCCAACTGGGAAACTGTCAGCAGCTTACACCAAACTAAATCCAAAAATGCGAGGAAATTCCTGGAAGCTTGGTATTCGCAGGGAGGCAGGACCCATGTGACTGGTCTGCCCCCGGCGCCTGATGGACCCGTCAGGGCTTCAGAGGGAGCTGGGGGATATTCCTGTGGACCTGCTGTACGGTCCAGCGGAGGCCTTGGCTGCTGCTTGAAATAGGAAGGCGGCT